CTGGGCGGATGCAGTGCAGGGGCACGGGTCCCGGACGCTAGGCTGGGTGTAGGGGATGAGGGTTGGGGTCAGTGCAGGGGCACAAGGGTGCCAGCTTGGGTGCAGGGATAGGCCCCGGGCTCAATGGACGGCTCAGCATGGGGCTTGGCTTCAAGCCGTTGGCAGCTGGGAGAGGTGCTTTCCCCATCTCTCCAGCTCAGAGGCCAGGGCTGTTTGTCACTGGGCGAAACGGAGCTGCTAATCAAGGGAATTAAATTCTTCTGCTCCACTGGCGTCTCCGCAGCCATGATGGATCCTGATCAGAAGCCCCTTCGTTCGCACTGTTTTATGGTAATGCTGTTGCTGAACTCAGATGTTTGGTGCTGGACCAGTCACTATAGAGAAAATGGGACCCCAGCTACCCAGCTCCCAGCTACACCAGTCCCAGCCTCTCCCACCAGGGGGCACTGTAGGGACCGAGGCAGAAGCTCTGGCCACTCCGACCCAAGCAGACGGGCTCTGGGGGTTGTGGGTGGTGCAGTGCATGGCAGAGCCCCCCCCCCCCCTTACCTGGAGTGCCTGCGGTCCGTCTGGCAGCACCGGCGGCAGATAATCAGGATCCCGGACAGCAGGACCAGGGTCCCTCCGATGAAGATGGAGAGCAGCACGAGGAGCAGCACATACCCATCTTGCGTGTTCACCTCGCCGGGCACTGTCTGTGGGCAGAGCAGACTGAGCACGGGGCCGGCGCACTCCCACAGGCGGTGCAGGGGCTTTCCCTTGGGCTCAGGCAGGCACCTCCCCAGTGGCTGCATGGTAAAGGCATTCACGGGCCTGGGGCACGCGAGGGTAGCAGGGCCCACGCTCTGACAGCTCCTCGCCCCCCCCCCCCCAGCTGGGCAGCAGTGGGTCCTCGTGACACATGCCTGTGGCACGAGCAGATGGCAGTGTGCAAGTGTGTGTGGAAGAGGCTCATGGGGGCAGCTGGGAAGGCAGAGCAGAGGCCCATCTCTGACAGCGTCCAGTCCTTGCTGGCCGTGCATGGGCCATTCTGCATTGAGCTGCTTACTGGAGGCGTCTCTTCTTCCCCCAGGGGCTTAGAGGTTTATCCCCCCCACATTCGGAAAGCTGATGCTCCTGCATTGGGAGAACCCCAGTTTGCTCCACCATCTTCCCTCCCAGAACCTGGCATGTTTGCTCCATAGAGCGATGGCTACTATTTCCCAGGGGGCTCATCCACTGATCCCTGCTCCCAGGTGCCAGTGTCTCCCCTGACCCCCAACCACTGGGCTGCAGCCAGGACACTCCTAGGAAACAGTGACTCCTCCCTGGCCGAAGTCTCACCCCAGCCACGATCCTGGGAACAGTCACTTGACCTGACTTCACCCCAATGATCCCCACTGACCTCCCTTCACCCCTTGGTCCCCATGTGCCCTCCTGGGAACAGAGTCTGGCTAGACCTCACCTGGGATGAGATTCACTCCCATATCCTCTGGGCCCAAGGACATGCATGCACTGAGGGCAGGCAGCATGCAGTGGGCTGGGGAGGGGCACGGTGGGCGGAAAGGGTAGAACTCAGCTGTCCCGACTCCCAGCCCCCCTGCTGTAACCACTAGATCACACTCTCCCTGCAAAGCCAGAGCGGGGAATAGAACCCAGGAGTCCTGCATCCCAGACCGAGGCCATTAACCCTTAATCCAAACCCAGGGGGCAGGGGGACACTGGGGCTTCCCCCTTTGGACTTCCCCCAGTTTAGCCCATCCCTGCTGCGTGGATCAGTTGGGGCTTCTCTCACCGGACGGAAGCGACAGCTGAGGTGCGGGGGGTGGGAAAAGGGGGAGCGCTGGGGCTGTCAGGGGAGGTGAGGCCGAGGGGGCGGGGGAGAGGAACGTAACATTAAATTGGTCAGGTGACAGGGGAGCCTTTGCCATGGCAACGCATCGTGATGTCAGGAGGAAACCAAAGTCACGTGACTATTTTTTAATTCAGCTGGAAAATGGGATGATAACCAGCCACAGAGAGAGCCCGAGCCGCATGCCCCCGGGAGCCACTACTCTGGGCCGAGGGCAGCTGGTGGCAGCAGCGAGGGGAGGCCGGGGGGGACCGTTAACTGAATCCCAGTGCTCTCAGCCACAGACGGCAGCGCAGCTGAGGGTGACCCTGGCTAGTCCTGTTCTGTTTCCTACCCTGACATTTGAGGGGTTCGCTGCTGCCCGGGGGGGACTCTGAGCAAGCTGGGCCAGGCGTAGCTTGAAATCAGCTGCCCTGGTGCAAGGGAGAATCTTGGGGGTACCAGGAATCACACATGGTATGGGGGAGGGGACCCCGGCCTCCTGCCCAGCCAGTCTGATGCTCCAGCCCCTGCCCTGGCAGAGATGGAGAAAGGCATGATGGGATATTCATCCCATCTATCCATCCACCCCACCCTTCCCTCGCACACCCATCTGTGTATCTATCCATCCCTCCCCCCACACACACCCATCTGTGTATCCATGCACCACTCCCTCCTGCCACACACCCATCGATCCATCCATCCATCCCCACACATCCCCACCCCTCCCTCCCTCTGTCCGTTCCTCCCCCCCACATACCCATTCCTCCTTCCCTCGGTCTGTCCTCCCACATACCCACCCCTCCCTCCCTCGGTCCATCCCTCCCCCCACATACCCATCTGTGTATCCATCCACCCCTCCCTTCCCCAACACACCCATCTGTATATCCATCCCTCTACCCCCACATACCCATCTGTGTATCCATCCACCCCTCCCTTCCCCAGCACACCCATCTGTATATCCATCCCTCTACCCCCACACACACTCATCTGTGTATCCATCCATCTCCCCACATACCCACCCCTCCCTCCCTCAGTCCGTCCCTCCCCCCACATACCCATCCACCCACCCACCCGTTGCGATACACACGCATCTATCTAGCTAAGCTCTAGGAACCCATCTGGGCCCAGCCCTCCCCCGTGGCTCCTGCAGAGTCATCTCCCCAGGGCCCAGCATGAAGGTGGATGACTCACGGACTTTGCTTGTGAGCTCTTAAACTCCCTACTGCAGTCACTGAGCAGATGTCCACTGCTGAGTGGGTGGCTGCTGCTGCGGCTCCCCTTGTGTCTTACGGCCTCCGGCTCCCTCTCCCACTCGCCTGGCCCTGGGTATCTTCACCCCCATCATCTCTCTCTCCTCTGCCTTGGCTCCACTGTCTTTCACTCCTCCCCCTGAGTCTCTCTGTCACTGGCAGAGTCTGGCCTCTCCTCCCTCTCTCCCAGGACAGCCAGTGACCCCAGTACCACGCGCCACCCGCCTCCCAATCTGGCTACATGAATTCTTCCTGCCCTGGAAATACCCGCTTGCAGGTGGCACTCTGTGCTGGGCGGGAGTTGCTGTGTGACATGACACAGGCAGCCAACTGGCTTTCTCGGGCTTGCTCTGATGTCATGGCAGGGGAGTGCCCAATACCCTGGGGGGTGGGCTAGCCCTGGGGAGGGAGGGGTGGAAAAACCCCAGGGGCTCCGGCTGGATACAGAACATTGAAGCCCCCCCCCCCAAGATCTGAGCAGGGGCCGGATTCCAGCATAAGCTGGAATAGCCCCCTCGTCTAGAGACCCCTGGCTGCTCCCTCGACTAACACTCATGTAAGACAGGCTCTGCTCTCAGCTACGTCAGGGTGAATCCGGAGTGACCCCACTAAAATCATCAGAGCCAATCTGGATTTACTCTGGTCAAAGACCAGGATCTGGTCCCCGTGAGCACAGACCGATTATTAGCAGCAGAGCAGGTGTAAAACGCCCGATGTGGGGTGTTTCCATTCGCGGCGTGACTTTGTAACCCAGCAGAGCTGACAAAACCATGCACAGAATCAATCCCTCCCTTGATCCCAGCCTCAGGGGTCTGTAAAACATCGGGGTGGCATGCCCGGTCCTTCATCAGAGCGATGACCGACGTAGCCCAGGATGGAAGGTAGAAGGCCCAGCCCTGCAGTCCTTGCACCAGCAATGTCCATTGATTGTGGGATGTACCTGGGTGAGGTACTGCGGGGTAGGGGTGGGGGGCTTTAAGCTTATTTTCCTCTTTACATAAGCACCAGGTCATGGTGCAAGTGAGACTAACAGCAGGTACCAGAAGCAGGTATAGATTGCTCCAGCTTGGTGCTATCCTCATACAGGGTAGGAGGGATGGTGTCCCTAGCCTCTGTTTGTCAGAAGCTGGGAATGAGCGACAGGGGATGGATCACTTGGTGATTGCCTGGTCTGTTCATTCCCTCTGGGAGACCCGGCATCGGCCACTGACAGAAGACAGGATACTGGGCTAGATGGACCTTTGGTCTGATCCAATATGGCCATTCTTATGAGGCCAAATCAGAGCCTTGGTATAGTTGGGGGGAGTTCTGCTATTAGGGTCTATGGATAGAGGGACATGGGAACTGCACCTGGCTAGCCAGACGGACAGAATCCCACCTCTTGGCCAATTCCATCTGGTAGGACAGTACCCAGGGCAGCACAGAAAGGCCCTCACTTCCCATAATGAACTAGGCCTATTGTGACAGTGTTGCATGTGGAGGGGTTAAAGGGATTCCTGACCCCTGTGGTCAAATGCCCATCCAAGGCCCTGGAGCATGAACTTTGATCGTCATTGGGTGGCTTAGCTGCTGATGTTCTTATCGATCACCAAGTGACCTGCCGGAGTGTGTGACTCACTGACCCCCAGAGGAAGGGGTGTGTCTATCACGGATGGGGGAGCTTTGTTAAATGACCTGTCCCTTTCCCCCCACCCCACCCCACCCCCAAAGAATAATATCGACAGGTACCAAAGCTCCCAGCCTGCTGCTTCCCCCGGCCTTTTCTCTCCCACTGCTCTCAGACCCACACCCTGAGCAGCCGGCCCCACTTCCCGCCAGCCAGAACAGCAAGGGAGTGATTTCTGAGCAGCAGGTGCGGCTCATTGGAGACAGGTGCTGCGGTATAATCTGCTGGGATGCCCACGGGAAGATCGGTCTCCCCCCTAGTCCCGAGAACAAGGGGAAGATCCCCTCCAGCTTCCTGAGCAGAACATCTTCCCAGGAGGTGCCGGGGAGGGGAAGACTTAGCTAAGCCAGGGGCTCTGGCTGTCCTGCCCACCACGTATTGCATGGATCTCAAGCAGCCTCCTGCCTGGGAAGGAGGCAGGTGCAAAGACTCACATGGGGAGCCCAGTGCAAGGGGGGGCAGAGGGCCCGAGGGCAAGGGGCCAGGAGTGATGGGGGGGAATCCAGCTCCCACCCCCCCCACCCCCTTGGGGCACGTACCGTTGTGCTCTCTGTCGTGTTGTCCCAGGCAGTCAAGTCATTGCTCATGGTCTGTCCCAGCTGGAAAGTCCTCCTGGGAGTCGGGAAGAGCAAGAGGCAAAAATGACACCCCGGGAACAAAAGAATGAAAATCCCGCACGTGGAGGCGAGAAGTGAAGGGGACGCGCTGGGGCTGGGCTGGGCAGGTCCGTCCCCGCCTCGCTCCGGATCTGATCCCGGTTCACCGCCCCCCGTTCACACGGGCTGGGGCGGCAGCACCAATCGCGGGTGGGCTCGGATGCTGCCTGTGTCCAGCCCCCGCCCCATCGCACACACCGTCTCCTCCCTTCCCTGCACTTCCTCTCGGCTAATGCCTGCCCAGGTAAATCGAATTAGAAAAGAGAGGAAGAATCGGATCCAAGGCGAATCGTCCGGAGGTTGGTAGGAGTCAGGGGGCTCCTACCACTGGGGTGTGATGGGGTCGGTTCCCCGCCCCCCCCCCCGTCCCCTTTCTCGCTCTGGTTCCCTGCCCCCCAGTTCCTCTTGCCTGCTCCAGTCCGCCGGGGGCTTCGCTCATCCTCTGCCCGGCAGGGAAGCCTCCAGCCCCTGTGTTCTGCAGGCTGCTGCGGCGCAGACACCGGCTCCCCCTCGCCGTCCCCTCCCCACGCGGCTCCATGAGCTCACCCGCCCACCCAGCCGCTGCAAGCCGAGAGCCCTGACTCGAGCCCACGCGTGAAAGTGACTCTATCCCAGGCAGTCAAGGTGCTCCCAGCTCAGATCGCTGGCCAGGGCGTGTGGCACCCTCCCCGGGGCTTGTGGGGAGGGGTTAACCCGGGCCCTAGAGCAAGGCCGGGGGGCTGGGCTGGAGGGTGGCGGGGCACGGTGCTGGGTTAGAGGGGGGAGTGTCTGGGCTGGGGGGAGGCTACAGAGACAGCTTGATGGGGTCAAGCCAGAGAGAGATGGGGATGGATGGGTAGAGAGGGAGGGAGGAATGGATGGTGTATATATGGGGATGGATAGATAGGGGTGAATGGATGGGGATGAGTGGGTGGGGGACATATGGGGATGAATGGATCTGGGGAAAGCTGTCCCCACTGGCCCATTCACTGCCTCCCACTCTGCCCTGGCTCCTCCCAGGGAGCAATCCGCCCTGTGGAGGGAGAGGAGATGCAACATCTCATGGGTGAGTCCCCAGTACACCTCAGCAGTTCCTTTAGCCAGTCTCACTCACTGGTCCTGGGGCCACCTTTTCCCTTTTGGGATGGGAGCTAGACGTGCCATGGATAGCGGGTGGGTGGGGCCACATGCCCCTCCCAGGTCTAGTGTAGAACCCAGGAGTCCTGACACAGCCCCCCGCGCTAACCACTAGACCACATGGCCTCCTCTCCTTTGTACGGGGCATACCAAGTTTCCCAGTTCTCTTTCACATTCCATCCCCACATTGTCCCTGCTCCACACACACCAACAGCAGCCGCCACAGCCCAGGCGTGGATGATCAAAGGTTAAGATGAGTCACATGGTGAGGTCACCTCCTTATGCACACACAGCAACACACACAAACACCAACTCCCTCTCCGACCTTGTCCGCACTTGGCTTTTTGCTCCCCAATCAGCCTCCATTCCAGTTGTGACGGCACCAGCCTCGGGAGGAGCCGTCCAGTAGACAAGGTACCAGCATTTGAAACACCCCGGCCTGGTGCATGAAGCCCCACCAACTGCCCCCAGAGCCCTCTCTTCAGTAGGGGTCCCCCCAATGCTACCACGAGCAAAGCTGAAACGGTGGGTGATTGTAGAACCCCTCCGGCCATCGTCAGCGGCTCAGAAAGGAAAGAAATGGATGGCTCAGGGTATCGGTGATGGTCCATGGAGATCTCATTCTCAGGCGTCCTGGTTTACAGCCATCCTGGCTCAGCAAGGGTGGCAGTGTAAGGGAAAGGCATTCAGGGGGCCCAGCTAGGAGAGGAAAACTGTCCATGTGCTTCAGGTGCTGGCTTTGAACTTAGGCGGGGCTGGGTTTGATTCCCACCAGTTCTGCGTGACCATGGGAGAGTCACTGAATCTCTCTGGGCCTTAGCTGCCCTCCTGTAAAATGAGCCCTTTGTCTAGACGCTATGTGTGTGTACAGCACCTAACACAATAGGGTCTCCAGGAATACTAACAAATTAACATCTCCAAAGCCCCCACTGCAAGGAGCAGTAAGTGGAGAACAGCTAGCCAGGCTCCTCTGGCTTGCACTGCAACTGGTTAAACTGAAGCACTGGCGCCTTGCTTTCACTGCCCTAGCTGTCACCGCGGTGAGGTTCACAGGCAGTGTTTTAGCCACCACCCCACGGGCCTCTCCCGAGCCTGCATCCAACGTTAAGGAAGAACATTGCAGCTAATTGCTGGGGGGTGACTTCTGAAGAGAACCAGACAACATTTCAGAAGGGAGAGGGGCACAGTAGCTTTCACGGCTGCCACCTGACTGTGATCTTGTCAGTTCTCATAAGCTAAGTAGAATCAGGCCTGTTCAGATCTGGAAGAGGAGACCTGTAGAGGAGAAACGCAGTAGCCTCTTCTCCTGCTGTAGCTTGTAATTGTCAGTGGATGTTGCTTGTATCCTAGAGCGGAGCAGAGGAAGGGAGTGGTGGGAGTGACTCAGTACCAATAAGCAGTCAATGGGATATTGGTGCCCTCTTTAGGATCAGATTGGAAACTAAGATGTCCTGATTGCTCAGGGTCATTAAAGACTTGCTGGTGCTTTCCACAAGCACAGGGGCGAGAGAACCTGGTTCAGTGGTTGCAATTACATTCTGCTTCCTTAGTTCCTTGAAAGCGGATGTATAGTGTTGCTGTGTGCTGTTAACGTTCTACCCCAGAGCGGGCTGCATTTCAGTGCACGAGCGGAGCCTGGCCCTGTTAAACTCCTGAGCATGCTGCAAAGTTAATTTTATCTCTGGGATATTTGGCAGGTATGGTGGGGGTGGGACTTGAGGGGGGTATTTAGATGCCTGATGGGAGGCAGGGATTGAATTGGATTTTGGGTGTTAAAATACAGAAGTCTGTACCTGAGCCTTCCTCCCTAGAGAGAACTGTCTTCTAACAATCAGCGCAGGCTTGGAACTCCCTCTCCCTGGGGCCACGGGTCTGTTTCGTCAGCCACATGGCCTGTTGCCAGGCACAGGAGTTTTCAAACCACGGGGCGTTCTCCCCCCATCTCTGCTCTCCTCTGGTGACGGTTGGGGCTATTTGAAAATCCATTTGAAATCAGATCAGGAATAAAATATTCATCGAGCAGGTGGTACTGTTTCCCCTCACATCTTTCGTGTGTCCTGTCTGCCAGGACGGACTCTCTCTGAATGTCTGTGAAGCACCTGGGACAACAGGGTCCCCATCTTGGGTGGGTCTCCATGTGCTACTGTCATACAAATAGTAACAGTTAAAGGGGCAGATCTCTGATTTCAGGTAGAGCCGGATTGGGATTCTCAGCCACAGAGGCCTTTACCTCCCCTAGGACGACTCCATCATTGTACAGATGTTTAGGAACAGCTGGGCCAGCTAGGCTGTGGTGATGTCCCACGGACAATCCTGGATATTTCAGAAGGAGTTATGCACCTATTTGTGTACCACTATGAGCAACAGGGGGGGAAAGGCCTCCCCAACCCAATGTCAGTATCTGTCTCTGCTACTTATCTGGTCTTTGTTACTATCACACCTGTGCATTTTCCCCATCTCTAATGTACCTTCCCAACCCCTCACCAGGTAGGGCGGTGTTATTATCCTCATTGTACAGATGGGGAAACTGAGGCAAAAAGAGGCTATGCGACTTGTCCAGGGTCACGCGCGGCGTCTGTGGCAGAGCCAAGAATTGAACTGGGCTTCCCACTGCTCTAGCCACTGGACCAACCTTTCTTCCACTAGATGCTCAGGGGGTGGGGTGAGAGAAGGGGCTGGGTCTTTCCCATCTGCCTCCCTCCCCTCTCCCCCCACTCACCCTGGAAGGGGGAGCATGCAGGAGGGGTGCCCATAAAGGTGGCAGCAGCTTAGCGAGTTAAACAGCACCACTCTCTTAGCCAAGTGGTGCCACCAGCCAGGCACTGACTAGCCAGCGATGGGCCATCCTGGGGGGTGGCTGCTGTGCACCAGGCTCTGGCCTCTGAGCCTCTTGAGTCCAGCCCCAGTGCAGGAGGCCCCAGATCAGGGGGCTGCTCCTTCTGCCCCATACCTGCCTGGAGATGCACCCTGAGCCTAGCCCAGCAAGTTCCTCCCCTGCCCCCAGGAGGGAGATCCCAGCTGCCTCCCACTCCCAGCTCTGAAAGCTGCTTGGAACTGCCCGGATCATCATCCTGGTCAGTGCCAGGAGCTTCCAAGGGCCGGGTGGAGGGCTTGTGCCAGTGGGAGCATCCGCTCACTGTGCCCCTTTGGCCATACTCCCTTGGTGCCCCCAGCACAGGGGTCTAGATTCTTGGGGGAGGGGCTGGCTGCCCGCCCATCCAACCCTGGGCTCCAGTCAACTTAGTATTGAGCAGGGTCGGAGAGATTTGAGCTTTCAGGCTGTGCTGGAGAATAAGATTCCCACCCACCTCCTGACTCCCCAAAACCCTGGGGTCCCCAGCGAAAGGGGAAAGAGAAGGGGCTGGAAAGAAAGGAAGAGACCAGAACGGAGGGAGAGGGCAGGCTGAGGCGGAGACAGCAAAGCCAGCCCTGTCAAGCATGCTAGGACCGGGCCTCCCTGCCTCAACTGGCCTGAGGTCACCCATGCCCAGGGCATCTTGAGCTGGTGCCAAACTCCCACCCCAATCCTAGTGGCAGCTGGGTCTGGGCTGGCCTGCCCCCCGCTCCTCCTTGCAAGAGGGCAGCTGGGGAAGGGCCTGGGGGCTGTGGTGACCAGGGAGCTGAAGGCAGATGGGAAGAATGTCGGGCCTGTTTCCCCCCCATCATGGAGGAATTTCGTCTCCATGGTGACAGAAAGGGGGAACAAGGCCGCCATTGTCTTGGCCCGGGCGCTGTAAGGAGACAGGTTCCTGGGCTGGCGCCGCCCGGGAGATGTTTGGCCCCAGATGAAAGGGGCCCGGGCGGGGGGCGTGGCAAGAGGCCGCTTCACACTTGGT